GTACGCAAACAGCCCGTTAGTCGGTGTCTTCTGCGGTCCACGTGGATCTCTAACAGTATTTTTTTTATATTTCTATTTCATACAGTCGAATTTGCTTTCGTTTCGCCTGTTTACTTTGTTTTTAAAGTGCTTCTTCGTGTTAAAATGCCAATAAGAAAAAAGCGGAGAAAATTTGCAGGATATGGCAATTAAACTTTTTTGCTTGAAATTACCCAGCAGAACCAGGCCGAATTTTGGAAGAGGTTAATAAATTGAGGGGTTCGCATTCGTGCATTTGTGTGGCTTTGTTAAATTCCAGCAAGAAAGGTGTGATTGAAATGAGCAAATCAGTAGATTAGTTTATTCTGAACAGAACTAATTGCACGTTATACTTCTACTGTGTTCACAGGTTTTCACAGTTTACGATCATTTTTATGCTTCAAGCTATTAATAATGGAAGATTTTGAGGTACCAGTGTCTCGTCCCATCTACTTTTCATCAAACAAGGCATACATCGCATTCGTATCCGGCATAAGCAGCATCGGAATTGGAGGCTTCTCACTGGAGTGGAGAACCGTTGAAAAGAGTTTGTTACTGTCTAACAGCACTTATCGAACTTGCCAAACTAGCTTGCGACGTAGAATTTGTGGAACAAATACCCCGTCTGTGCTTTTACATTATTTCAGTCAGCCCAAAAACTGCAGCATTTTTAGCAGAGGCTTGCGGATGCTAACAACATCGGCAGTTCGTCTTTCTTCTAGGGGATTTGCAAGCGGGATGCTGAGGACTTTTTGTGCCTCTTGTATACTACATACCATTTCGCCATCTAACAGTTTAGAAAGGAATAAGTTTTACTTTTGATGTAGCTTTACCTCAAACAGTTGTGACAGAACAGCACCACAAATCAGTATGTTTGTTTGGCACTTTATTCCACAATGCATTTCAGTAATGGCTATTAAGTAAAACTGAAGGCCAAAATGCTTTCAAATTTTCACTCTGAAAAGGAACAAGGGATCTTGGGGTTGCTTAACCGAGGGGGTTTTTTTAACAGTGGCAGCCGTCGATTCAAAGTCTTCTTTCAAAGGTTGCTTATTAAGTAAGATGGAAAAAGTGATGTTGCAGGAATGCTTCTACACGCCGAGCATAGCTCCGCCAAGCCGTTCGATCCTAAGTTGTTAATAATATTATATAAAAACAAAGTATTCTGGCAAATTGTTACTGTGCTCTAAAAATACAGTCCATCGTTAAAAAGCTATTTTCAGAATGCGGAGGGCGGCTGTACAGTGATGAAGGGCAGATCTCATTATACGGTTATGAAAGAAGAGAAACATGCCAGTGGCACGTCACTGTAGATCCACAGATGCACATTGAAATCACAGTTGAACCGATGAAACTTGGCACAGGAGATATTCGAAACTGTTCGGTCAACTCTCTCGAGGTAAATATCGGAATGGTATAGCCAGGATCTGCTTGAGCGAAGCAAAACTCTAATCTTTGCCGGTGTAACTGACCTGAACTTCTCAGTGTTTTTCATGGAAAAGACTAAATTTAGCTGTTTGACGGTCTTGAAATTGATGAAACCGAACGCATATTGCATTTATGCAGCAGCGAATCAACACGGACATTGGTACGCACAACACTGCCATATTTCACGGCTTACTTCAAGAGCGATTTCCCGCTCGACTTTCCAGAAGAACGCTGTAAACTTTTATGTACTTTGATGCTAGCAGATCGAAATTTGCTCGAATTTTTTATGCTTTTCCCGGAACTGATCTGTTGCAGGTGATGGAGATCCCCTTTGCAGTCGCGGTTTTACTATTCGCTACAGAACTATTAAATGTTAGTGAATTTTTGGTCGCTTCTTTTTTGAACCCTATCCTTTAAGTATGTAATGATAGTAGCGGCGTTAAATAGTGTTTGAAATCAAAGTCCCATTTTTAAAACTATTCGTGCTGTTAATGATCTGGCTGCGTCAAATTTGGCGCAGAAACGCATGGTCGTACGGGCAAGCCTGTTGCTTTGTTACCTGGTTTTATTATGCGTTTTGTGCTGTGTGACAGCAGTACAAGACGCATTTTGTTACGGGGTTGTCTGTGTGTGTGTTTGTGTGTGTGTGTGTCCGCAGCAACTTGTCC